AGAGCATGAGAGATCTTTCCATTTTCTGGTGTCTTCTTTAATTTCTTTCTTTAAATAATCAAAGTTGTTGTGATACAGGTCTTTCACTTGTTTGGTTAGTGTTACCCCAAGGTATTTTATGTTGTTTATGGCTATTGTAAAGGGTGATGTTTCTCTGATTTCCTTCTCAGCCCTTTTGTCATCTGTATGTAGTAGGGCTACTGATTTTCTGAGTTGTCTTGTATCCTACCACTATGCTGAAGGTGTTCATCAGCTGTAGGAATTGCCTGGTGGTATTTTTGGGTCACTTATGTAAACTCTTATATCATCTGCAAATAGTGAAAGTTTGACCTCTTCCTTTTCAATTTGTATCTTCTTGATCTCCTTTTGTTGTCTTATTGCTCTAGCTGGAACTTCAAGTACAATATTGAAGAGGTATGGAGAGAGGGCACAGCCTTGTCTTGTTCCTGATTTTAGAGGAAAAACATTGAGTTTCTCTCCACCTAGTTTTATGTTGGCTGTTGGTTTACTATATATAGCTTTTATGTTTAGGTATTTTCCTGTTATCTCTGATCTCTCCAAGACCTTTATTATGAAGGGGTGCTGGATTTTGTCAAAGGCTTTTTCATCATCTAGTGAGATGATCATGTGATTTTTGTTTCTCAGCTTGTTTATAAAATGGATTACATTGATAGAGGAAACCTACTCGATCATGGTGGATGAGTTTTCTGATGAGTTCTTGGGTCTGATTTGCCAGTATTTTCTTGAGTATTTTTGTATCAATGTTCATGAGGAATATTCGTGTAAAGTTTTGTTTCTTAGTTGTGTCTTTGTATGGCTTGGGTATCAAGGTTATTGAAGCCTCATGAAAAGAGTTTGGCAATGACCTTCTGCTTCTATTTTGTGGAATACTTTGAGGAGAATTGGTACAAACTGTTCTTTAAATTTCTGGTATAATTATGCACCGAGGCCATCTGGCCCTGGGCTTTTTTTGGTTGGGAGACTTTTGATGACTGTTTCTATTTCATTCGAGATTATAGGTCTATTTTAATTGCTAATCTGTTCTTAATTTAATTTTGGTAAGTGATATCTATTCAGAAAATTGTCCATTTCCTTTAAGTTATCAAATATTGTGGAGTACAGGTTTTCAAAGTATGACCTGATGATTCCCTGGATTTCCTCAGTGTCTATTTTTATGTCTCCCTTTTCATTTCTGATTTTGTTAATTTACATGTTCACACTATGCCCACTATGGTGTTTGGTAAGGTAGGATAAAGGTTTGTCTGTCTTATTGATTTTCTCAAAGAACCAACTCTTCCTTACAGTGATTCTTTGTATTGTTTTTCCTAGTTTCTACTATATTGATTTCAGCCCTCAATTTGATTATTTCCTAGTGTTTAATCCTCTGGAGTGAGTGTAGGCATTTCAGGCTGGATGGAGATGGGACAGGAATTCTGGCACTCAAGAGTCACAGAATACTGAGTGTTTGTTACACAGCTCAGTTGGAAAAGGTATCCTGGAGCTCATGGAGCCAAGGTCCACCACAGGTTGCAGTAAGCTTAGCTGCTTACAGCCTTGCCTCAGAGAAAGGCTTCCCCGTGTATTGGCTCTGCTCTGGCAAGCCAAGGCCTTCCAGCTAGGGATGTTTGCCTAATGTAGCAGTTTTGCTCCCCAGGAGGTTTCTCAGGGAAGTGGCTACAGTTCAACTCTGCTCTGGGAGAGGGGAGTGGAGTGTAATAACTATGCTCTGCCAAGGGAAGGTTTCCCTGGCAAAAGTGTTACAGCCCTGCTGGCTCTGCTCTGCCTGCTTGTTCTGCTCTGCCCAGGGTCGCCTCTGCTCTACCGCCACTGCAAAAGATCTTCACCCAAAGCTCACTGAAGGGGTTTATTGGGAGGGAAGAATCCAGGACAGCGGCTGCCCTCTGCCAGAGTGGCACAAACAGACAAGCTGAACAGACACAGGGTTTATATAGGGCTTCCAGGGTGAGGATTTGTCAGATTTTAGTGCTGAGCTCAGATTGGCTAGAGCTCTGCTCAAAGATTGGTTCATTTTCTGCACAGGATTAGGGTCAGATTTGGCTCTGGTTTCAGAGTGTGTTTCTTTCTCTGGTCCTTTTGGCTCCAATTTTAGGGCCAGGGCGCATTTCTTTCACTGACTCTAATTCCAGGGACAAAGTATGTTCTTTTGGCACTGATTTCAGGGTCAGGGTGTATTTCTTTAGTTCTGGTGGCAGGGCCAAAGTGTGTTTCTTTGGCTCTGCTCAGGGTGTGTTTCTTTGACTGATCCCTTTTTCCTACAGTGAGTTTCCTTCTTTTTGTTCTAAAGCTTTTCTTTCATTTGTGCTGTTAGTTCTCTAATGTTACTATTCTCCAGTTTCTTCATGTGGGCACTTAGTGCTATGAACTTTCCTCTTAGCACTGCTTTCAAAGTGTCCCATAAGTATAGGTATGTTGTGTCTTCCTTCTCATTGAATTCTAAGAAGTCTTTAGTTTTTTTTTCTTTTCTTCTTTGACCCAGGAATGGTGCAATGTACATTATTCAATTTCCATGAGTTTGTAGGATTTTTGCAATTTGTGTTGTTGTTGAATTCTAATTTTAATGCATGGTGGTATGATAAGGTGCTTGGAGTTATTCCAATTTTTTTGTACCTGTTGATGTTTGCTTTGTTGCCACATATGTGGTCTATTTTTGAAAAGGTTCCATGTGGCACTGAGAAGGTATATTCTTTTGTGTTTGGATGGACTGTTCTATGAATGTCTCTTAAACCCAATAGGGTCATAACTTCTGTTAATACCTTTGTTTCTTTGTTAATTTTCTGTCTGGTAGTCCTGTCTTGTGGTGAGAGTGGGGTGTTGGAGTCTCCTACTATAAGTGTGTGAAGTTTTATATGTAATTTAAGTTTTAGTAATGCTTTTTATGAATGCCAATGCCCTTGTATTTGGGGCATAGATGTTCAGAATCGACACTTAATCTAGGTGGATTTCTCCTGTGATGAGTATGAAATAACCTATTTCATCTCTTTTGATTTATTTTACTTTAAAGTCTAATTTGTTCGATAGTAGGATTGCTAAGTACGCTTGTTTCTTGGGTCTATTTGGAAGATCATTTCTCAACCCTTAACTCTAAAGTAACGTCTGTCTTTGAATCTGAGTTGTGTTTCTTGTATGCAGCAGAAGGATGGATTCTGTGTTCAAATACATTCTGTTAGCCTGTGTCTTTTTATGGGTGAGTTAAGACCATTAATATTGAGGGATGTTAATGACCATTGATTGCTCATTCTTGTTTGTTTTGGAATGGTTGTTATTGGTGGAATTATATGTGAATTTCCACCCCCCTTTTTTTCAGCTGTTGGTAAAATAGGATCATCTCTTTCTTTTGTTTTTCTGGTTGTAGTTAACTTCTTTGGCTTGGAGTTTTCCTTCTAGAACTTTCTGTAGGGCTGGGGTAGTGGATATGAATTGTTTAAATCTGATGTGGTGAGGGGACTATTTTTGTTGTCCACTCTATTTGTTTTTCTGTAAGCTTCTTGCACATTCATTGGCATGTCGTTCTTTAGGTTGGGAAAGTTTTCTTCTATGTATTTGTTGAATATGTTTTCTGCCTCTTTGAGTTGGTTTTCTTCACCTTCTATACCTATTATTCCTAAGTTTGGCCTTTTCATGGTGTCACATATTTCCTGGATATTTTGTGTTAGAGATTTGTTGGACTTAAGGTTTTTTTGTTCAATGAACCTATTTCTCCTAGTGTATCTTTAACACCAGAGATTCTCTCTTCCATCTCTTGTATTCTGTTGGCTATGCTTGCACCTGTAGTTCCTGACCATTTGCCCAGCTTTTCTATTTCCTTCAGACTGTGTTTTCTTATTGTCTCTATTTTCACCTTTCAACCCTTGCACTGTTTGAATTGTTTGTTGCAATTTTTGCTTTGTCTTTTCCTCCATTTCTTCCTTTTTTTTAGCATTTTTTGGTTTGTTTTTTCTTATATCTCTTTAAGGGGTTTTCTCATATCCTCTTTGAGGGTCTCTGTCATTTTCATGAAGTTGTTTTTAAGGTCATTCTCTTCTGCTTCATTTGCATTGGAATATTTGAGTATTATTGGTGTAGAGTTTCTAGTCTCTGGCAGTGTCATATTTGTTTTTTCTGTTGCTGAGTGTGTTTTTATATTTTCTCCTTCCCTTCCCTTCTTCCAGTTGGTGTAGAAAAGGCCTTTTCCTCTCCTGGTGTGTATGCAAGCAAGTACAATACTCTGGTAGCTCTCCTCTTCCTGGTTCCGTGGGCAGAGAAATGGACTAGGATGCTGGGATGGGGGTTGCCTCCGGCCAGGAGGGGAACCCCAGTGGAAGTCCCCAGGTACAGGAAGGAAGCCCAGAAACATTCCCCAGTTTACCTAGTCCCGTGTGTAGGGGAGACTAGGATGCTGCTGTGCGTGGCTCCCACCAGGATGGGAGCTGCAGTGGTGGTCCCCAGGCACAGCCCCATGATTTCTACTACAAAGATTTTTCTCCTCTCTTTCCCCAGAAGTGTAATGATTGGCCCACATAAACATGTAAATAATAGATGTGTGAAATTATTAACATGTGATTTTCATGAGAATTAATTTGAAAAGGTAGTACCTGAAAACTGCTATTTAAAGAATTGCATCTATGTACTGTGGCTCATATCTATAATGTTAGAATTTAAAAGGCTGATGAAAGAAGATAAGATTGTTCTACATTTGAGGCTAGGCTTAGGTTACATAGTGAGTTCCAAGGTAATTTGAGATATTGCTTATATCCATATCTCAAAAGTAAGGAAAAAGAGGAGTTTGATGAGGGTAAGAAGAAGGGATGGGGAAGGAGAGAGGAGAGAGACAGAGGCAAGAGTTTCTGGAAACACAAGAAACTAATAAAGATAAAACTTAGCATTTATCATTGATTCAGACTTCTGAAAAGCAAGTTTATTGGATGTTTGCAGATATTGTGATATACAATTGCTCAAACAACTTTATATGCTTATAATTTTGTGGCTGCTTTTTCTCCTAGGCTTAGGCATTCTAGAGCCATTGGGACATATAGATTTTTACCCAAATGGAGGAAAACAACAGCCAGGTTGTCCTACGAACATTTTTTCAGGTATATTAAGCTTATTTTCATTCCTTTTTCTTTTACTGAAAAAAGATCTTTTTCATACAATATATTCTGATTATAGTTATATGTGATTCAAAATGATATGGGAAAATAGTTTACCATTTTGATTTCTTAAAACCTGTGGGTAATATTTTGATATCATATTTTTTGCCAATAACCTAGGGGAGTTGGCAAGAAATAATTTAAATTGATACCATTCAATATACATAGGTTACTAGCAAATACAACATTTGGTCTAGGATAAGGTCTTTTTTGTGTGGTTTCAATAATTTTAGTTCATTACTTTAAACACAAGGAGAAATTTTAAAAGTCAACTAGGAAAACACATATAGCTAACATATCCTAGAATTTGAGTTTTATCCCACACTTTAGCACTTATCAACACATTACCACACATAGGCAGATTTTCAACCTTGGCTAGTTGGTTGTCCCACACATGGAGTGATGCATGACCCCTGAGTGTGGGATGGGGCTTACTTCAGCACCATGGCAATTTAGCACATGGTCAAATGTCACTGCAACTAGACAAGTTTGAACTAAAGAAAAAAGAAGACTGGAAAGCAGAAGTGAGGTTAGCGAGCTGCAACACCGCTTGCCTCCAGAGACGTGTTTAACATTGGATCAAAAGTTTAGGGGTATAAAAGTAGAAGAGAAAGACACTATCATAGTAAACATTGAAGTAGTGTGGTTGTGCACCGTGTTAAATTTAAACAGCCATGCTATATGGCTTATTACTTTATGCAAATGTCTTGTTTATTTCCATGAAAATGTCATGTCAAATTTAAGATTATAATGGGGCTTCTTAATAGGTTGAGATGAAAGTGTATTGTGGTCAATATTTTGTAAATATGAAAGGAACACAACATTTAATATAGCATAATTGTCAGTTTTCTATAGTTTACTTGAATCAATTGAATGTTTTTGCAGTTTTTTTTTGTTCTCACCCTCAAGGAATGAATTACTTAAAATGTGACCATCAGAGAGCAGTTTACTTGTTCCTTGGAGCTTTTGAAACAAACTGCAATTTTGTATCAATTCCCTGTGGCTCCTACAAAGATTACCAAAATGGTTTATGTGTGGACTGTGGAAACCTTTACAAAGACTCCTGTCCTAGGCTTGGTAAGGAAACTTGCATTTATTACAATTCTTTTGGAAGCAAGTAACATCATTTTGACAGTATATTAGGCTGGAGGCTAAGACATGCTTCATATTAATTGGCTAATATTATGGTTTTGGGGGAAGTTATCAATGGGAATAATGGTAGACTCAGATTTTATATTTCCTACCATTTTTCCTATAGAATTTTCCCACTCCTCTTGCTATATGTACAGGCAGAAACTTCTACATTCTATATTCTTTTCCATTAAATAGGAAATCTTAGGTATAACTGAAGATATGTGCATCATAGCTAGCTTTTCAGTTGATCCCAGCAGGTAGTCTTACATGTGATTTATGCTTTCCATATCAGTTACATTGGCAGCTTTTGAAAATGAAAGTCTGCCAATGGAATATATAGAAAAAGTAAATGAAAAATACACAAGAAGACAGGATTAAATATGCAGAGGTAAAGAGAATATGGAGGCTATAATCAAAGTATATTATGCATATTATATGTATAGATAAAAGTGAATTAATAAATAAAAGTACATAAAATGGTTCAAGTAAAAGGAAAAAATAGAATTTAAAAGAATTCCAGACATAGTTAAGTATTTTCAAGAGAAAATGCCAGGTCTCAAAATGGTATAAACATATCCATATCTGGTTTGTATCATGGAAGGGTTTACCAGAAATGTTTGCAAGGTCAAGGGTTCTCTAGAAATGGGAGATGATTAAGAGGACTGAAATGAGCCCAGTACAACAAGCTTTTCTCAACCTTATTGTCTGTACATGGAGCATCGCCATATAAAGTATGATCTATCCAGGATTTGTCAAATCTATATTTTCATAGATTTCTTCTGTCCACAAGATATAATTTGGGAATTCACTTATCTTACATCTCTATATGGGATTGTTTTTCTGGTGGCATTGCTTATCCAAGGTTGAGCTAGCGTTAAAAATTCTGAAATTTAAATTAAGTATTATGGCTACTACATTAAAATTTAAAAGCCTTGAGGTAGAAATAAAGAGTCATTTGGATATATTTAATATATCCAAATTAATATTCTGTATGTACATATATAAGAAATATATCCAATACATAGGATGTATATATCTATTTATGTTATGTATATTATGGCATAATACAATAATGTATATGTAGGATAATTTGGGGGCTTTATTCACAGAGCTAAACTGCATGTTCAAATTTTATGTAATTCACTTATTCTGATAAATTTACTGAGAAGAGTTATACATAAACTTATGAATGTAAAATATGGTATAAAAACTGATACAAGTGATCATTCAGATTATGTCAAGTTCTAATAGGACTTTCAGAGAGTGGAGTGCTTTTTGTGAATCTAGAATATGAGTACTTCAAAAATTAATGTAAATTATCCTACATATTTTCAAGGTACCTTTTAATCTATATTTGATGCTGTACATTGATATTTAAGGACTTTAGTTATTTGAAGAGTTTGTGTGTGTGCTACTTGATGTAATTTAATTCCTGTATCTGTTTCTCAAATCTTAGGTAATCAAGCTAAGCTATGGAAAGAAGGTTTGAAGAAAAAAATGGAAGGGTGGCCTCTCAGGACCACTGCATTTTTGGATACTAGCAGTGAATATCCATTCTGTAGTAAGTTGTTAGAATTTAAATAAGTGAGCCATTATATGCAAACACATGTATGTTATTTTAGAATAACTGAAACCATGGTTATAATTTATTTTTAAGGATGAATTTGTCTTGGTTTATAAACCTGTAAATTGAAGAATCAAGTAACTTGCTCCCAAGTACAACAGTTAGCTAAGTATAAGAAGCAAGGCAATCTCAACCATTGGAGAAAAGAAAAGAAAGACATAGGAGTCAACATTTTCAAGCAATTTTACAGTCAACCCAGACTAGCTCCACTTAGTTTCGAGCCCTAGTTGGCCATGATTTCTGCACTCAAGTCTCCATGTTTTTTGTTATTCTCCTCCCCATCTTCTTTTCTCCAACGGCTTACCTCACCCTTTCTCCTCCAACTACTCCTTGCATCAAATATTCATTTATATTTCATAATTTCAGCTTTCTATAATATATCTGAACTTCCTCATGTCTAATTTCTTCTTTTCATTGTTAATTTCTTTATTGCTAAAATAAAGCCTACTGATGACTTTTCAGCAGTCACTTTGACCAATTACTTTTAAAGCTTTAGTTTTTAAAAGGTGTGTGTGTGTGTGTGTGTGTGTGTGTGTGCGCGTGCGCACGCACGCTCATGAATTCAGGTGCTCACAGAGACCAGAGGTATTTTGTGGATGGACATTTCTATCCTGCCTGGTCCCACAGCCTTTCAGTCCCAAATAAACACATAGAGGCTTATATTAATTATAAACTGTTTGGTCAATGGTTGAGGATTCTTATTGGCTACTTCTCTTTTAACTAATAGTTCATTTCTATTAATCCCCTGACATCCTACCTTCCTGGTAGCTACATGGTGTGTCACTGGCTACTCTCTGTGTGTTCGCCTTCCAAGCCTCCTACTAGTCTGGTAGCCCTGACTATACTTCCTGCCTGGCTACATCCTGTCTGTCCATTTGCGGAAACAGCTTTATTAATCAACCAATAAAAGAACCATATATTCACAGCATGCAGAAGGACATCCCCCATCAGTCCATCAGTACTTGATCCCCTGGAGCTAGAATCACAGGCTTTGGTCAACCACCTGACATGTCAGCTGGGGTTCAAACCTGCTCAACAGTATGACTTCTAGTCTGTGAACAAAATTTCTCCCGTTCACTGTGAGTTCTTTTTGTTTGGATTAGCACATCCCTACATGTAACTATTTGAGTTGTAACAGCTCCAATGAGGTGTGTACAGTTCTTTAATTTGATTGCCATTCCTCAGTAGGCAATGAAACTGATGATTAAAATTGTTAAGCACATTTAGCTGTATATATTAATCAGGTGATCAAGAGACTTATAATATTTACAAATGTTCCTGAAAAGGAAAATGTTGTTTCATATTATTGTTCCATTTGATTTTATGTTTTCAGGCAAGTTAGAACATAGTACCTATTTAACCAAATTATCACCATACTCAAATTGATGATTGACTGGCAGTTTCTAATTCTTCAAAACCTGACATTTTGTTTTTGTCTTTGTTTCCCATAATGACATGATCTCTAGTATGTATACTACACTTCAGGGCAGATCCCACTCCCATGAATAGTTGGGCAACATAATCTGTACTCAATGGGGAGAAGAAATTAGAAAACTCACAAAGTTGGGTGTTAGGGTAGTAAGGGTTTATATGATGGGTGTGGGAAGAGCTGGGGGGAGGTGATCATGAATATGGTCAGAATAAAGTCTTTGAAATTCCCAAAGAATTATGGAAAACATTTTGGGAATAAACCACAAGAAGCAGAACGCATAATCTACTGATAAATTACTCTATCTGATTTTTTTGCATATAAAATGCAGGGCTCTACTACATATACCATACATGCTTGTGTGTGTTTTTGCATATGTGGCAAAACAAAACAAAGTTTGAAATATAATATGAATAACATTCTGTATTTTTATTTTGTAGCATATTATTTTACTCTCAGTTTAGTTGCTTCAAACAAAACTATGAGAGATGGATCAATTTCATTCCTTTTACTAAACAGTTTTAAGAGATTTGAATTCCCCAGGCTCTATGTGTAAGTACCAGTTCTTACTTACTCCTTTGAGAAATTAAATGCTTGTTTATTTGCATATCAACAAATGATTCAGTAGATAATTCAGAGAGAATTTTCTAAATGAATAGACTTAAACATTAGCATATTTTACATATCATGTTCTACTCTTTCATGCTATGGGAACATATTGAATATGTAACAGACCACAAATATTGAATGGCCACAAATATGAGAGGAATGTGAGACATCATTTTTGTCATGTTTTTGACTCTTAATTTCAGTATTCCTCCTAACCATCTTGCTTGCTTACTTTCTCCAGTTTTAATAGAATGTCATGTTCACGGTGTTGTAAATAGAAATGTAATACCATCAGTTAATGATAGCAGCACAACTTTAGCATTTAGAGAACTCTGAATCACAAAGTTCCCAAGTATATGTTGAGAAATCATTTTTCTCAATTCCAAATGACGTTTCACATATGTATCATTGAATATGCACATTTTAAAAGTTACTTAATCTTCAAGTCCATTCTCAGCTGTTTTGCTAAATATCTGTATATCTCTTAGATTAATTCTTAAAATAAAACATTCTCTTCGGCAAAATAATGATGTAAAGCTGTATGTTTTATTGAAATTTTACAGTTTCCAATGCACTTGTTTAACTACATAGAAAGTGAAATATTTTTATGTCTGGTGATTAAATAAATAATAAAATTTATTTAGCTATCAATAGGCCATAAATGGGCTTCAACTTTAACCTGTTGTTGGTGACTTTTGAGTTGCAGGAGCCACAGTTGTTATCTCCAACATTTACTGGTGTTGTAGCTTAAGTAATTATCATACATGAACTGGCCAATAGACTAAATATAATGTGTGGTGAGTCTTGGATTTGAACATATTGTGACATACAGATTTAGTATGTACGGCATACAGCTGTCAACTATGAAAGAGGAAAGCCTCCCTGACTGGAAGCAAGTTTAGTTGTCAATCAATGGTGACAACCTCTTTAATGTTAAAATGCTATTAACATTTAACTAAAAATCTGCAGTGGCATGCAAATATAACACGTTACCACACCACATAGTAAATGTGATATGTAGCATAGAAAAATATATTTCAAAACTTGGAATCCATGAAGGAGATCAAAGGAAAAAAGTTCATGTTGGCAAAATACTGAAAACATTTATAGTGAATTAAAACTAAGAATTTCCATCATGGATGCTATAGTCATTCTCAGAAATGAAATACTGGGTCAATATTAGGCAAGTAAAACATGAGATAAATATCTTAATATTTCATTCTGTAAATAAGAATCATTGCAGATGAATTAGTGGTGATATGAAAATGGCAGTGTAAAACAATTTTTCTTCATTTTTCATCTCCTTCCAGTCACTCAAAGAAGATATAGAACATATATTAGAAATTTGATCTAAATTCTTTACTTCTGTCAAGTCTATTTTATTAAGAGAACTTATCAATTCCTTTTCACCCAAGCTTGGACATTCATTATATATTGTATGTTGTAATACTAAGTGCTTTTCAGTAAATAGTTCACTAACATAGATCTCTTATATTGTAAAAGGTTTTGTATATATTACATGCACATATATAGTCTATTGTTTGTCATTATTAGAAATATACTGTTAACTTTTAAATTAATTCATTTATTCAGCACATTACTTATAACTAAACATATTCAGATGTTTTAAGGATTTCTGGGCACTCAAACTGAAATAGTGTTATTGTTCAGAAGGAAGTCAAAAAACGCTGGTGGAGGTTACTGCATAATTGAATCTGAGTAGAGAGTTTCATGATAGATTACCACTTAATATGCTGTCAGAAGTCAGAAAAGGAGTAATCACATTTGAAAGTAATGTAATCCCATGAGCAAACTGGGAGAAGTTACTGTCAAAGGCCTAGAGGAAACAGTGACTAACCTCATAAATAGCACAGAAACCAACCTCTTAAAGCAGTTACTTCAATTTTTCCAGTCAGTAAAGAAATTCGTTGTGATTTACTTTGAAAACAGCTACACATTGTGAAATAGTGATGGATTTTACTCATAAAGGATTCAGTATAAAAACGATGACTTTATTAGTACATGTATACTTATTATAATATGTTCACCCAAGTTTGGCTATTGTTTTCTGTTAGTTATTTGGCATTTGAACTTTTGTTTGAATGCTAGAAGAATCAAAGAATCTTAAAAGACAAAGCATTTCTCTTTCAAGACCTGAAAGAGGAATATTTTCTCTTTATACAAAATGGCACAATATTTTATAAAGAAAAATTAGGGTCACCTATGACTATGAAATGTATGAATGCTGAACTTGCCAGTTACTCTGTAATCACTCTACTAATTCCTCCGCCTGACCCTCGTTTTCCCTCTCCTCCTCCTCTTCCTTCACTTCTCATCCTACTTCTTACCTCCTCACCCCTTCTTCTTCTACAGGATCTGTGATACTGTATGTTTTTATTTCATTTTTTTAGTAAATTAGGACTTGTGCTGGCCTCTGATTTTCATACATACTGTTGTAGTGTGGTCATTCTTTCAATTTCATTAAAAAGCACTTGGTTATTAATTGCAGTATGATTTTAAGTATAATGTTTTATAAATTGAGGATTCTATTTTTCTATGTTGATCATGCACATTTGTGTGTGTGTGTGTGTGTGTGTGTGTGTGTGTGTGTGTGTGTGGTGGGAGGGAGGGTGCACATGCTACAGCCTGTATGTGGAGTTCAGAGGACATATCTTGGGTATTGAGTCTCTGCTCTCATCACGGGGCTTCCAAGAATGAAACGCAGACTGTCAGGTTTGGTAGCCTTTACTCACTAAGCTATATCACATGCCCTCATGGTATGCTTTTAAATAAGAAATACGACTATTAACTATTCAAATTAGAGCAGTCCCTCAGATGAGTTATAGTGAGATTAAAGGAAATTCTAGAGTCTTCCTAAATAATTATTGTTACATTTGAGTGATGGATGATGGGAACTAGACAAGTTCAGTGGAATAAAAATAAATACTGAGAGAGATTCTAGAGGTTCTAAGGTTTCCAAATGTATATACGATATGCTTTTATAATATATCTGAAGTGTGAAATTAACAAAAGTAAACCTGTATAGAAAAACATCAAAATATTTAAAATCCCTCTTCCATAACAAACCATTATATACGAAGTAGAGGATTCTATGGAAAGCATCCAATTTAGCTATTCAATAAATGTTTGTGTTACTCTCTGTTCTAGACAGATCCTTGTCTTTGCTCCAGCACAGTTTCCTGCAAAAACACTTTCTTCTCTGGAAGGTTTCCATGTTCTTTACTTTTTTCATCCTTCCTTTTCTCCTCCCCATTTCCTTCTTTCTTTTGACTTAAGTTTTGTGGTTTTTCTGGTCCAACTGACTTATGCAATTAGTTTTAGCTAAGAGATGACAATACAGAGGGCTCTATTTCGTTTGGATTTGGACAATACTATAATGATGGCAATATTTATTTAATTATTTTTTTGTCATTTTACATAGCAACCACAGCTCCCCTTCCCTCCCTTTTTCCCACCCCACTCACCTCAACCACCATCACACACCCTGGGGATTATTTTAATGAACTCATATTTCTGGCACAGACAGATGAAGAATTGGAGGAGTAATAAACATAATTTACAAATATGGTTTTACATAGCACATGACTAACTAATAGCTGTGTGAATTCTAGAAAGCAACTTGTGTGGCTTGAACCTCAGCTTCCTTACCTTAAAATGACCATTCTGTTTTTTTAAATTTTTTTATTTTAATTTTAAATAGCTTGTTTTACATGTCAATCCCAGTTCCCTCTTCCTCCCCTCCTCCCGCACTCCCCATCCCTCCCAGCCTCCCATCCTATTGCCAATTCCTTCCACATAGGGGATATCTTGAGTCTGTCATTTCACTCAGGGTAGGGTCCAGGGATTCCCCTAAGAGTCCAGGCTGAGAGAGCATCCCTATTTGTGCTATGGGCACATGATGACTGTTTGTATTCCAGGGATAGACACTGATCCACTGCTCAGGGCCCCATAGGTTGCCCAGGCCTCCTCACTGACTCTCACATTCAGGGGGTCTGGATCAGTCCCATGCTGGCCTCCCAGCTGTCAGTCTAGAGTCCAAGAGCTCTCCCCTGTTCAGATCAGCTGTCTCTGCTGGTTTTGCCAGCCCATTCTTTGCCAATTTGCTCATCACTCCTCTCTCTCTGTTACTGGGTTCCTAGGGTTCAGTTCAATACTTAATTGTGTGAGTTTGCCTCTGCTTCTATCAGGCACTGGATGAAGGGTCCAGGATGGTTATAGACATCAAGTTCATTATCAGGAATGGGCATTCGAGGTGGTCTCTCCACTATTGCTTAGCTTGGTGTCATCCCTTTAGATCACTAGAGGTCACTCTAGTGCCTGATCTGTCTTTTAACCTATGATTCCCTCTTCCCCCTATTCCAACCCTCCCACTCAAACTTCCTGTTCCCCCATGACCTCCTCTCTCTTCCTCTCCTCCCCCTCTCTTCTTCCCAGCTCCCACTCCCCCCCCACCTCTCGCTGTGTTCCCCATCCATTCAGAGGATCTTGTCTCAATCCTCTTCTCTTGGGTACTATGAATATCAGTGTCTAAATATCCATATATGAATATCCATGTCTAAAATCCATATATGAGTGAATACATACCATGTTTGTCTTTTTGAGACTGGGTTACCTCACTCAGAAGGGTTTATTCCAGTGCTATCCATTTACCTGCAAATTTCAAGATTCCACTGCTGAGTAATACTCCATTGTGTAAATGCACCAGATTTTCTCTATCCACTCTTCAGTTGAGGGGCATCTAGGTTGCTTCCAGGTTCTGGCTATTACATATAATGCTGCTATGAATATAGTGGAGCAGATGTCCTTGTTGTATGAATTTGCCTCATTTGGATATATGCCTAAGAGTGGAATTGCTGGGTCTTGTGGTAGATTAATTCCCATTTGCCTGAGGAATCTCCACACTGATTTCCAAAGTGGCTGTACGAGTTGGCACTCCCACCAGCAGTGGAGGAGTGTTCCCCTCTCTCCATATCCTCTCCAGCATAAATTGTCTTCGGTGTTTTTGATTTTAGCCATTCTGACAGGAATAACATGGTATCTCAGAGTTGTTTTGATTTGCATTTCCCTGATGGCTAAGGATGTTGAGCACTTTCTTAAGTGTCTCTTGGCCATTTTAGCCTCCTCTATTGAGAATTCTCTATTTAGTTTTGTACCCTACCTTTTAATTAGATCCTTTGGTGTTTTGGAGACTTGCTTCTTGAGTTCTTTGTATATTTTGGAGATTAGCCCTCTGTCAGATGTGGGGTTAGTGAATATCTTTTCCCATTCTGTGGACTGCCTTGTTGTCTTGTTGACTGTGTCCTTTGATTTACGGAAGCTTGTTAGTTTCAGGAGGTCCCATTTGTTAATTGTCGATCTCAGTGTTTGTGCCACGGGTGTTATGTTTAGGAAGTGTTTTCCTGTACCAACTCATTGAAGAGTATCTCCCACTTTCTCTTCTAAAAGTTTCAGTGTGACTGGATTTATGTTGAGATCTTTGATCCATTTGGACTTAAGTTTTGTACAAGGTGATAAACATGGATCTATCTGCAGTCTTCTGCATACCAGTACCCAGTTATGCCAGCACCATTTGTTGAAGATGCTTTCTTTTTTCCATTGTATAGTTTTATCTGCAAATAGTGAAAGTTTGACTTCTTCTTTTCCTATTTGTATACCCTTTATCTCCTTTTGTTGTCTTATTGCTGTAGCTAGAACTTCAAGTACAATAATGAAGAGATATGGAGAGAGTGGACAGTCTTGTCCTGTTCCTGATTTTAGATGAATTGCTCTGAGTTTCTCCGCATTTAGTTTGATGTTAGCTGTTGGTTTACTGTATATTGCTTTTCTTATATTCAGATATGTTCCTGTTATCCCTGATCTCTCTAGGACCTTTATCATGAAGGGGTGCTGGATTTTGTCAAAGGCTTTTTCAGCATCTAGTGAGATGATCATGTGGTTTTTCTTTCCCAGTTTGTTTATGTGGTGGATTACATTGATAGATTTTCTAATGTTGAACCATACCTGTATTCCTGGGATGAAGCCTACTTGATCATGATGGATGATTTTTCTGATGTGTTCTTGAATCCGGTTTGCAAGTATTTTATTGAGTATTTTTGCATCGATGTTCATGAGGGAAATTGGTCTATAGTTCTCTTTCTTAGTTGTGTCTTTGTGTGGCTTGGGTATCAAGGTAATTGTAGCCTCGAAAAAAAGAGTTTGGCAGTGAGCCTCTTGCTTCTATTGTGTGGAATACTTTGAGGAGTATTGGAATTAGCTCTTCTTTGAATTTCTGGTAGAATTCTGCACTGAAGGCATCTGGGCCTGGGCTTTTTTTGTTTGGGAGACTTTTGATGACTGCTTCTGTTTCATTAGGGGTTATAGGTCTGTTTAGATTGTTTATCTGTTCTTGATTTAGATTTGGCAAGTGATATCTATCCAGGAAATTGTCCATTTCCTTTAAATTTTTGAATTTTGTGGAGTACAGATTTTCAAAGTATGCCCTGATGATTCTCTGGATTTCCTCAGAGTCCGTTGTTGTGTCCCCTTTTTCATTGCTGATTTTGTTAATTAGCATGCTCTCTCTCTGTCTTTTGGTTAGTTTGGACAGAGGTTTGTCTATTTTGTTGATTTTCTCAAAGAACCAACTCTTTGTTTCACTGATTCTTCTCAGTGTTTTCCTGGTTTCTACTTGATTGATTTCAGCCCTCAATTTGATTATTTCTTGGCATCTGCTCATCCTGGGTGAGTTTGCTTCTTTTTTTTCTAGAACATTCAGCTTTGCTATTATTTCTCTAGTATGACTATTCTCCAGTTTCTTCATGTGGGCATTTACTGCTATAAACTTTCCTCTCAGCACTTATTTCAAAGTGTCCCATAAGTTTGTGTATGTTGTGTCTTCATTCTCATTGAATTCGAGGAAGTGTTTAATTTCTTTTTCTATTTCTTCCTTTACCCAGGGATGGTGCAATTGTACATTGTTCAATTTCCATGAGTTTGTAGGGTTTCTGTGATTTGTGTTATTGTTGAATTCTAATTTTAATGCATGTTGGTCTGATAAGATACAGGGGGTTATTCCAATTTTTTCATATCTGTGGAGATTTGCTATGTTTCCTATTATGTGGTCAATTTTAGAGAAGGTTCCATGTGGTGCCGAGAAGAAGGTATATCCCTTTGTGTTTGGGTGGAATGTTCTATAGATGTCTGTTAAACCCAGTTGGGTCATAACTTCTATTAGTTCTTTTGTGTCTTTGTTAAGTTTCTGTCTGGAGGTCCTGTCTAGCAGTGAGAGCGGAGTGTTGAAGTCTCCTACTATTAGTGTGTGAGATTTTATGTGCATTTTGAGCTTTAGTAATGTTTCTTTCACGAATGTAGGTGCCTTTGTATTTGGGGCATAGATGTTTACAATTGAGACTTCATCTTGATGTACTTTTCCTTTGATGAATATGAAGTGTCCTTCTTCATCTCTTTTGATTGATTTTAATTTGAAGTCTAGTTTGTTAGATATTAGGATTGCCACACCCGCTTGTTTCTTGGGACCATTTGATTGGAAGATCTTTTCCCAACCCTTTACTCTGAGATAACATCTGTCTTTGATGTTGAGATGTGTTTCTTGTATGCAGCAGAAGGAAGGGTTCTGTTTTCGTATCCATTCTGCTAGTCTGTGTCTTTTTATAGGTAAGTTGAGGCCGTTGACATTGAGGGATATTAATGACCACTGATTGATGATTCTTGTTTGTGCTTGATTTATTGTTAGTGGAGTTATTTTGTGTAGTTTCTCCTCCCTTTTTCTTTTGGTGTTTTGTAAAGTGGGATTTTATATTGCCTGTGTCTTTGTGAGTGTAGTTATCTTCCTTGGATCTAGGTTTTCCTTCTAGCACTTCCTATAGAGCTAGATTCATGGATATATATTGTTTAAATCTGGCTTTGTCGTGGCATATTTTGTTTTCTCCATCTATCGTGATTGAAAGCTTTGCTGGATATAGTAGTTTGGGCTGGCATCCTTGTTTCTTTAGCGTTTGTAGGACATCTATCCAGGATCTTCTGGCTTTCATCGTTTCCATTGAGAAGTCAGGTGTAATTCGGATAGGTCTGCCTTTGTATGTTATTTGGCCTTTGTGCTGGAGAATGACAGTTTTCAGTTGAACTCCTAGTCAACTGAAGGAATTGTGATGTCTAAAGAATGATCTATGAATTCAAATACAGGATAAACGGTCTTGGACAAAATATGTCATCACATGCTTATATGGGAATGCATATATCCCCACTGTTAGTCTGTCCTGTCTGAACTCCTCCCTATAAAATTGTCCCCCATGTTTCATTAGTATTACATTAATTTTAGAAAACCATGTTTAATTTTATTGATATGCTGAGAATATCACGCTTTTCTGCTTAGGAAAAGCCAACCATCTGATAATATTCAAGAAGTCAAGATCCTTGCTCAGTTCATAAGTGATGTTGTGGACATTTCATGCATTTATATGACATACTTGCAGTCTTCAGATTCCTACTGCTCCACCTGCCAACACAGATTCCAGAGTCTCGTGTTAAAGTCACTTACATACCCAGAAAGGTAGGAAATCTAAATTTTGATTAAACTATTTTGTCTTAATATGTAAAATGCTCTTTAAGTTTTGGTTAAGAATTTATGTGTGCAAATGCTCATTAATTTTATTATAAAAAGATCTAAAAATGTTTTTAAAATGACATAAAATGTATTTTTGTCCTGAATGATACTTACAATAATTTAGAGTTACATTTTCTGAGCAACAGAAGAAACACACATAATTATTTCATAAGGTATTGCTAAGTTAGGGAATTGACACAATTTACCCCTTAAACATTTATAAATATTTTCTTTTCTTTTTTGTTTGCTTGACTTTTTAGCTCAAACACAGTTCTATTAGAGTTTAAGAGAAAAAGAACAGGAGAAGCCATCTATAAATCTCAGCAGCTGCAGTAAGGATCGAGACAGAGAAGTAGAAAAGGAGAGAAATCATGTTAGGGTAGGACACAAAGTCCTAAGTGGGATTCTTAACACCTCTAAAAAAATCAAGCATTTTCCTATGCAACTGTGACTCCAGTGTTAGATGAAGAGACACATGGGACTTGCTGACCAGCCAGGCTAGTCAAATCAGTAATCTTCAGTTTCTGTAAGACATCATATCTCAAGGAAATAAAGTAGAAAATGGTAGGGGAAGATACAAACATCATCATCTGGCCTTTGCATGTGCATGCACAGGTAAATGCACTACACATGTACACATGCATACATGTATATCCCATGCATAGATACATGCATCATGCAAAACACATGCATGCATGCATATCCCATATTTATCCCACCCACATACACCTAATAAAAGAAGTGGTTTGTGAATTGATTATAATCTCTTTAGTTGGTTTTAATATTTATACTTGCATTCCACACACACACACACATATATACATATATGAATTACTAATTATCTTTTATAAAAGTGCAATACAGAGGACAAGTGTTTGTACAAAGTAATAACAAAAATAATATGTGACTGTACATATGTGCGTCTTTGTGTGTGTATAGGGATATATAATGCCTGTGTATGAATACATAGTACACACACATATGTATGTATGTTGAGGCAAGACACCAAACTTAGATATCATTCTTTAAGCGCCATTCACTTCAAGTTCTCTCACTGGCATCATTATAGTGTTTCCTAGAGATCTGCCTCTCTCCACCTCTCCAACATTGAAATTATAAGATAGTGCCATTGTGCTAGTCTTTTTATGTGAGTGCCAGGAATCAATTCAAGACCCCCCGTACTTGTGTGACTGACTGACTGAGCTGTTTGCCAACCTGAGAACATGCATTTAGATGAGTTCTCCATCCACAAAGGAGTGGTGGAAATTAATCTAAATGTAAACCATCTAACAAATTTCCATTGATAATATACATACATTCAAAAATCAGTAAAAGGCTATTATACTGACAAAAGGCAGTTCTCATTGTCCCTGTGGTTATATATATATATATGCAAAAGAAATGAAACCCAATACAAATCCAAGAAAGAACATTTACTACCATCATTCCTTACAAATGTGTGGTTGGAGCAGAATTTCCAGTAAAAATAAATATATTCATTGAGGAGCACTTGGAAAATCTGTTTCATATGTAATGTTTCAACTGAAACAGAAATATTAATTATTTCTGCTTTTGCAGAAATCATCATTTTCTTATCTCACTTTTATGTTGATTACAGGCTGCATAAAACTCATTCATAAGTAAGAAATAGGGAATAATCATTCCTATATGCTCCAGTACATAAAACACACAGGTATGGGATTTTATTTTCCAAAACATTAACTGTGGCTGGATTATTATTATTTACTAGATTTACAAAATTTGTATGCAATTCTTTTGACAAAGAAAATAAAATTTTAAAACACATCTTCTGTTGTTGCACAATAAATAAAAGACCCAGAGACAGATATTGGGCTTCAAGCTTCAAGTTGAAGATCAGAGAAGCAAAGCAGACAATGTAGTAGATCTTACCTCTACCCAGCTGAAATGGCCATCCTGTGTCCATGAATCCTCAGAGACAAAAGCTCTCAGTTCCTGCGTCCTCCTACCTTATTCCTTTCCTCTGCCCAGCCATATCGTCCTGTCTCCACCTCCCTAGTTATGGGATTAAAAGTTTGTGATTACCTTTGTGAGAGCTGTTTCTTTAGGACTAGATCAACTTGAACTAACAGAGATATGTCTACCTCTTAATCCGAAGTCCTGGGATTAAAGGCTGTACTACTACCGCCTAGCTCTATAATCAATCAACTGAATAAAAAGTTTTTATCACCACTGCCTGATCTATATAGTTTGAGGCTGGCTTTGCTTTCTTAATACTTAGGCAAGCTTTAATAAATCATAAATTATATATCACCAGAAGGCATCTTATTCAAATCACCACAACGAGGTTGGTTTTTGGTCTTGTTACAGTTTTGCTGCTTGATTGTTTTCTTTGTTTTCACTTCTAGTATTTAATAGGTATGCAAATATAGATTGTTATTAATCTCTGTTTCTCAAATGACAATGATGAGGTCATCTCTGCTCGTTAATTTGGGCATTTACACATTTAACTAATTAAGATTAATGTTGGAGGTGAGTGTGGGTTCCACTAGGGCCCAACTCTCCCCATCTCCTCCTTGGAACTTCCTGTGTCTGCTTCACACAGTCTTGGCCACCCCTATTCCCTCTGTCCTTTGCCCTCCCCTTGAGTGAGAAGAACATCAGGAGAGGTCAGACCTTGAAGTCTTGACCCACCCGTGCCCAGCAGGAGATAAGAGGAGATGGAGACCCCAGCTGCACCCACTCAAAGAAGGGATGTGAAGAAGACAGTATAAGAACACACTCAACAATAGAAAGACCAATATGACACCACCAGAATCTAGAGACACCAGCAAGACCTGAACATCCCAACACAGATGAAGCAGAAGAGAGGGACCTCAAAAAACAACTTTACAAAGATGATAGAAACCCTCAAAGAGGAAATGAGAAAATCCTTTAAAGAAATGGTGGAAAAGACAAACCAAAAATTTCAAGAAATAAAAAAATCTCTTAAATAATGCAAAGAAAGCCAAGAAAACAAAAGCAAACTAGTGAAGGAAACGATTCAAACAGTTCAAGGCTTTAAAGATGAAATAGAAACAAGAAAACCCAGAATGAGGGAGTGTTAGAAACAGAAAAGCTGGATAAATGATTGGGAACTACAGATGTAAGTATAACCAAGAAAATGCAAGAGATGGCAGAGAGAATCTCAGGTGTTGAAGACTCACTAGAGGAAATACAGTAATTGACCAAAGAAAATCTCAAGTCCAAAAATCCCTAACACAAAATATGCAGGAAACATGGGAAACAGTGAAAAGGCCAAACCTAAGAATAATAGGTATAGAAGAGGCTGAAGATATACAGCTCAAGAGCACAGAAGACATATTCAACAAAATCATAGAAAAAAACTTCCCCAACCTAAAGAATGATATACCAATGAAAGTACAAGAAGCTTATAGAACACCAAATAGACTGGACCACAAAAAGAAGATACCTCACCATATAATAACCAAAATGCCAAACTTACAGAATAAAGAAAAAATATTAAGAGCAGCAAAGGAAAAAGCCCAAGTAACATGTAAAGCCATACTTATCCAAATTACAACCAGCTTCTCAATGGAAACTGAAAGCCAGAAGATCTTGGAAAGATGTTTAACAAACGCTAAGGGAACATGGATGCCAGTCCAGAGTACTATAACTATGAAAGTGTTTAATCATTGTAGATGGAGAAAACAAGATATTCCATGACTAAACCAGGTTTAACAATAAATATCCATTAATCCAGACCTACAGAAAGTACTGGAAGGAAAACTCCAACCCAAGGAAGATAACTATATTCATAAAAACATAGGCAATATATAATCCTACTTTGTCAAACACCAAAATAAAAAAGGGGGAAGGGAATCCACACACAATACTACCACCACCACCAAATCAAAAACAAAAAAGAATTAAGAACCAATGGTCATTAATATCTTGCAATGTCAATGGTCTTAACTCACCTATAAAAAGACAAAGGATAACAGAATGGATATGAATGCATAATCCATCCTTCTGCTGCATACAAGAAACATCTCAATATCCAAGACAAATGTTTTCTCAGAGTAAAGGGTTGGGATAAGATTTTCCAATCAAATGGAAACAAGAAATAAGCTGGTGTAGCAACCTTACTATCTAACAAATTAGACTTCAAACTAAAATCAATCAAAAGAGATGAAGGTCATTTCATATTCATCACAGGAAAAGTCTGTCAAGATGAAGTCTCAATTCTGAACATGTATGCCCCAAATGCAAAGGTACCCACATTCATAAAAGTAGCATTACTAAAACTCAAATCACACACAAAACCTCACACACTTAGAGTGGGAGACTTCAACACCCCATTCTCACCACTAGACAGGACCGCCAGACAGAAATTTAACAAAGAAACAAAGGAACTAACAGAAGTTTTGACCTAATTAGGATTAACAGGCATCTAATAGAACATTCCATCCAAACACAAAAGAATATACATTCTTCTCAGTACCCCATTAAACCTTCTCTGAAATCAACCACATACTCAACAGCATAAAAATCTCAGCAGATACAAAGAAATTGTAATGACCCCCTGTATCCCATCAGATCATCATGGTTTAAAGTTAGGATTCAACAACAACTCAGATCACATAAACCCTACAAACTCATGGAAATTGAACAATGCACAATTGCACCATTCCTGGGCCAAGGGAGAAATATAAAATAAAAGAAATGAAAGAATTCCTAGAATTCAATGAGAATGAAGACACAACATACCCAAACTTATGGGACACTTTGAAAGCAGTGCTAAGAGGAAAGTTCAAAACACTAAGTGCCCATATGAAAAAAGTGGAGAATAGTAACACTAGAAATTAACAGCACTAGACAAAAAGAAGCAAACTCACACCAGATGAGCAGACCACAGGAAATAATCAAATTGAGGGTTGAAATCAATAAATTGAAACAAAGAAAAC